AATTTTTCACTTCTTTATTTTATTTTTTACTTGTTTCTTTTACAATATTTTTTACTGTGTGTTGAATGTTGTACCCAATTGAATTTTTTTAACTTGTTTATTTGTACAAAATTTACCTTCAAACTATGGAAGATTTTGAAATGTTTGAGGATTCACAAACTTCAGAACAAAACACTGATGTTAATTTTATTTCAGAAAATTGTCGTGTTTCTCATGGTAAAGCGTTCACCATTATAGAAGATGAAACTTTATGTAGATCTTAATTGGCGTTCTCTCAAGATCCCATTGCTAGTAATAGTTAGACCATAACAATATTCTAGGAACGAGTACTCGTTTTTTTTAATTCACAATTGAATGATCAATCAAATCGAAACCGTATTTCTTTATCTCACCGTTGGTCTGTGATGCAAAAGGCAATTAATAAATTCTATGATTTTCTTGAGTAAATCCAAATGAGCCAACAAAGTGGAACAACTGAGGTAAACATGGTAATTTTCATTTCTTTTGTAGCATATCAATTTTTTTTGTTCTTAGTTTACGTTTTATCGAAATGATTACCTTTTTCATTTTTTAGGTCTCTGAAGCTAAGCTCATGTATCATGTAATACAGAAAAAACACTTTACATTTGATACAAGTTGGGAAATTTTTCACCGAAGTTGTAAGTGGGATGAAATTAGAACACAAACCAAAAAACCCATACCACTACCTTATCCATTTTCAAATACAGCAACTGAAGGTGAGGCTTTTCAACCCAACAACAATATTGAGGAGGGCCAACAACTGACTAATACATCAATACGACCAATTGGTACTAAGGTTTCAAAAGAAAAGTTAAAGAAACAAGCAATTCATGATGTTAGATTTGATGAAATGGCTGCCAACTAGTCTAAAATTCTTGAAGCGTTGTCAACTATGTCCTTTAGAACTGTTGAGCAAGATGAACAAAAGGCGAAGAACGTGAACAAAAGGCTGTAGAATGTTAAAGAAGGGCCGAGGATAGGGAGAAACAACTAAAAATTTATCTATGATGAATGAAAGAGAGCAACGAAATGAGGATCTGTAGACACCCCATTTGGACCGGCCCTAAGACTTGGGCGCTTTCTTTTGATTACCCTATGATGACAAGACAAGAAGGTGTTTCTCATAGAATCGTCAATAAGAAAACTTAGAATTTGAGCCCTGTTTCCAACCCTAAACAACCACAAATTACCTTTTTAAGGGAATATTCTAACCTCACAATTGCATCCAGAATGGTTCGTTTAGCTAGGATCAACCTTCGCTGCACTTCTGGGGGCTTCAATAAAAAATTCTCCCAAAATTTGGGTTACAGCACAAATATTTGAAACTTCTAGGCCAAATTGTAATTTTCAAAACTTAGAGAATATTCTGTTATGTGAGGGAATATTCTATCCATATGGAGTACTATTCTGTCCATATGGAGAATACTCCGTTAATGCTAATGTGGCATGACTGGATTGATCTTTGCTGATGATGTAGCATTGACATGTCTTTACCAAAAAATAAAATAAATGAATTTAAGGAATGCTTGTAAAGGGGTTTGAACACCTAACCTACTACTCAACACCCAACACCTTAACCACTCTACCAAAGCTTTGCCTTGTATTGTATTTCCCCTCAAATAATATTTGACCATTCCAAACTAGTAGGTAGAGAAGGTTTTCTTTTGCATTTTTTTTCTTGTGTAGGACACTCCCCTCAGTGGCTGACCCATATATCACCAAATACATACCTAATCATCTCCCATTGTCAAAAAGAGGTTTTGTTTGCATCCATAAAGGAGTATCCCATGCAACCACCTTGAAAATTTGTCCTCCTATCACATTCTTGTCTCCCACCTTTTTTTTGACCTTAACTCTCCCTTATTGCCTATATAGAATGATCAGATTGTAAGAGAGGGAGAGGACCATGAAATTGAAGAGAAAAGAGTGAGAAAATGAGAGAAAAAAGGGAGAAAATTCAAATTTTGAGCCAAAAACACTTCTATCTTCCATATACACCTTCTGTGGCTTATATACACTGAAATTCCACCTTTTATACATCCAAAACAGCTCCAAAAATTCTGAAATAGCTAAATTTCAGTAGTGATTGATCAAAGGAAAGAGTGAGTGTTGTTGAAAGTGAGGAAAAATAAGAGAGTTAGCCACTTTTCCACCACACATACCTAGAGCTCCGCTCTAGTTTTGAATTGAGGATTGAGAACACACTTCCTAAACTTGAGGGTGATCAAGAGAAAGTTTGGAAATCAAGAAGTTCAATCTTTCTTTGGAAGGTGAATTTCTAGTCTTTCATTTTCTTATATTTTCTATCTCATATTTATTTTCTTGCTTCTTATTTCATAGTGTTTTGTTTAATCCAAGTGATTTATTTATCTCATATTTATTTTCTTACTTTATATTTCATAGTATTTTGTTATAATCCAAGTGATTTGTTTATCTTATATTTTTATTCTTACTTTATATTTCATAGTATTTTGCTATAATCCAAGTGGTTTGTTTATCTTATATCTATTTTCTTACTTTAAATTTCATAGTGTGTTGTTTTAATCCAAGTGGCTTGTTTAGTTCATAATTATTATTTTTTTGGCTTATTTGCTTTCTCTTGCTTCATATTAGTTGTGCCATAAGCTAACCAGTAGTGGTTAGTTGAGCCACCTACATATTTCTTGTTTGTTTCTTTTTTTGGTTTCGCAACAAGACAGGTTTTGCTGGGCCTAGTTGGCTGGCCGACCTATTTGGCCGGTCAGTTAGCTTCTTTTGAACAATATGGCGTAATCTCCCAATATTAACCAATTTCTGCCGATAGGTCCAAGGAACATGAAGCTTTTATTTTGAGTGTTTTGTGAGGTTTTGTTTTACTTTATTGCAATATTCTCTCCTCTCTCTCATTTGGTTTGTAATAATTTATTCAAAATGTTATAATAATTTCCCGCCCCACTTCTTTCTATCCCATTCTTTTACTTGCTTTCCTTATTTGTGAATATGCTTCATGTTTATTTATTTTATTTTTTCTTAGTATATCCTTGCTTCGCATCAATGTTTCATACATCTTAATTCGGCTAATATTGCATTTGTGGATTTAATCAATTCCTATGTGATTATGTGCGCTACCTCATGTTCTTGAGATGATTCACATGTCATGTCTTATTGCATTAAGATTTTGTATATAAGATTATGCATGTTTTACTAACTTTGTTTTGTAACTGTTCGCGGGACGTCGGTAAATATGTAAGTTTTTATGCTTTAACATCCCTTTTGTGTGTGTTTTTCTTATATTGTTTAAGCATCCTACCATGTGGCTACTTGCTTACTTGATATAACTGTATGAATGTCAGCGGATGGAGGTTGTGTCGTTTAAATTTGTAATAATGTTGATTTTTCATGTTTGTAAACTAAATTTATTTGGGTTGTATATCTTCAAAACTCTTTCAAAATACATGAAATCAAATTATTTCAAAAAAATGACATAGTCTATACTTGCATGCTTCACATAGTAATTTTTAGGATTTATTAAATAATCGAAATATGAACATATAATCACATAGTAATTTTTAGGATTTATTAAATAATCGAAATATGAACATATAAAGTAAATAAAATTCATATCATGGTTTAGTAAAGGCCGATATTTTGATTGGGTAAGAGAGGGTGCTCAATTAATGACATTTCCCTCTCATACCTAAGGTTCTGAACCAAGACAACTTTGGTTGACGAACAGTGGCCTTAGCACGAGTCATTGGCTTTCTAATTTCCCAAAATATTAGGTAGCAACTTTGAGATCTGATGACGCAGTCTATTTCTGACAAATGTTTTTGCAATAAAATGAATTATTTAAAAGTTACCAAATGTGGACTCTCGTCTACGTTTCACATTGCACTTGTGAGACTAGATCAAAGAGACCGAGGGTCCGAACTGTTTAAATCGCACGGGTACTCCCCGGGCATGTTACATGATCATAAAATAATGTCAATGGCTATGACCAATCTTATTTTGATCAACAAATAGATTTCCTTTACTGTTTGATGAAGACTAGGATTTCAATTGAATGATTTGCAGTGTATTTCTGCATTGCATTTTAAGGGTTAATTTGTGGAACTTTCTTTATGTGCCCCCTCTCCTCTTTTCTCTACTTTTCTCTAAATTTTTACTTGTCATCCATATGTTCCTTTTCATTTGAAGATGTTATTCTACTTCTACTTTTAAAATCAGTAATAGTGACACCTAAAGACATCATATCTATTTTAACTCAATAGTTGAATATGCTTCTTGTTCTTGTTCTTGTTCTTGTTTTTGTTCTTCTTTTTTATTTTATAGTTTATATATTTTTATTATATCTATGTTGATGTTGGATTGAAAATTTGAGAAATAACATGTGAATGGTCTTTTATGAGCACCAAGTATATTGGTTTTATTATTTATTTCTATCAGAAATATTACTAGATATTTCTCAAATTTTTACTGTCCCTCTTCCTTCATTTCTTTCCTTTTTCTCCAACAGGAATAAAATTGTGAATTCCTGTATTTGTGTTTGGTTAACCAATACTCACCAACCTATCTCTATTTTGCTAAAAACTACAATCATCATCCATTCTATAAAAATTGTAGTTTGAACTAAAATTGTTATTCAAACAATGATGTTTGAACATCCCATTATATAGTATCTGGTAGTCCAAATATTGGTGTCAACCTAAATGTTAATCCAACCATGTACTTGAATTGCATGATTCAACACTGCACTATCTCGTTAAGAACTCCAAGTTTTATGAAATTTACCAACTAGATGACTTGTTAAATTGATTGTAGGTTTAGAACAACAGTAAAGGCAGTGTTATACTAAAAAAAGTTTTAGACTCACTGTCAATTAAAAAATAAAACCCCAAAATGGTAGTGATATTTTAACTACACCCATCAATATAGTTTAAAACCATATACTAGTTCTTCATCCACTCAAAAATTAAAAAACACATACTACTAGTACAAACTAACAAAAATATAAAAAGACCAACCACTAGTATATCCATAAAAATAAAAATAAAAAAAACAAATAAAAGTAGTACAAAAAACACAAAAATGAAAAAATGGAAAGTAATAGTACATCCATAACAACCAAAAAGCACATAGATTTGTAATACATCCAATCTCTTATCCAAACTCGTCAAAGGTCATTGTCAGGTGGTGGTGGAGGGAAGTAGTGATGGTAGATCTCATTGACTCGATGCTCAATTTGATCAATGAGATTGCTTGTAACCTCATGACGTATTTCAGTGTCCACACGAAACTCAACAAATTGTTGAATTAACGAGTTCTAAGCGGTGGCAAATGCATCAAACTGATCAGCCACGTGTTGTTCCCATTGAACACGTTGATTGTGTCGATCTTGTTCTGTAGTCAAAAAATCAGTTCAGTATTGAAGTTGTTGACCTGGTGGCATGGCATTGTCATTGGGGTCTTCGGGAGTATCATCTGTTGTTACATTTGGAGTATTCAGACTTTGAAATAAATTTTTAGCACCTCTAGCTCGAGTGAGTGTGTACTCCGAAATTGCTGAAGAGTGTGTACTCCGAAATTGCTGAAGATATTTAGTTTCTACTTCACCTACAAGTCTAATCTTCAAAGCTTTGAAAATTTTAGTACGTAGAACTCCAAAAACTAATGACCAACCAGTGATATGACCAAGATTTGCAACCGCAATTTCTTTCATGAGTATATAGCATAAATCTAATTTGTGTCCAATTTCAAAACAATATAGCAAATAAGCATTAAAAATTGGAATAGCATGAAAATGTCCTCTTCTGGGAGTGACATTTTCTATTATAAATCGATAAAGAATACGAAGGTAGGGTTTCAAATGTCTTGCTTGTAAATTACTTCTTGTAAATCTACTCTCACAAATAGTAGTATATACTTCACTTATGTCACCAACAATATCAAGCAAGTCAGACTCACTGTGAAAATAGATTTGCTTATTCCCTTGCTCAACTCCAATAATTCGTGCCAAAGTAGGGATGTCAAATTCAATAGATTTACCTTTTACATAAGATATAATACTAAAGTCTCCATCTTCTTCATCAGTACATTTCAAGAGAACATAAAATAGAGACACAAGACAAGGATATACCTTTTGTGGTAAATTTATTAAATTTAGCCATCCCATAGTCTCAAGTTTGGTAACCAACAGAGGATCATATTGAGGAGGAAGATTTAGCCTTCTCTCAGTGACAAGAGGTTGCAGAATAGTTAAAAGGCTTGTTCATGATTATAAGTGAAAAAATCAGTAGTTGGATAAGCTGAAATTTGAGGCTGTTGTTGGCATGGTGAAAGGTTTGAGATCTATCCAGTTCTGGTCTTGATCTTTTGGTTCTAGGCATGACTTTGTGAATATATGTTGAATTTGATTGGGAGAGGTAAATGTGAATGGTGGATTTTAGAGGTGGTAAATTTCAGTGTGAGATGACCAAATGGAGTGAAAAGGAAGTGCAACAGAAAAAGGATAAGGAAAATCGTAGCTTGAACCACTTGGCGCTCAATTGGAATTCACAAACTGGAAAGGTTGACTGGCCAATGGACCCCCAGGTTGACCCCTCGGTCGGCCGGTTTTGTGCAGAATGGAATTCTTGTGTTTTCGGTTTCTGATTCTGAAAATGATGCACACTTCCTTCAACTCTTTATGAAATACACAGATATGAGCTTTGTGAATATATAGAGTCCATTTTACACGCACACTTTAAATGAGATAGGTGATGGAGGGAAGTAATGAGGTAGTTCAATTTGTTTAATGAAGTAGTTAGATGGTTGTATGTGTAAATGATGCATTCATGAAGATGGTGAAGTCTACAGGCTTTGAAAAGTCATGCAAAATAAATATTCACACCTGGATGCCTCACAAAAGTCCAAGACTTTGATGAAATTTATATATAAAAAAATTCCCATAAATTATAATTGGGTCAAAAGTTGTTCTTAATTAATATGGAGCATTTTAGATACTATTGTCAAATTATTGACAGTAGTAATCACCATGTGGCTATCAACCAATTTGCCAAACTAAAAAAAATGTACCATTAACTAGATCAAACAAAGAACAAATTTCAGTTTGCTTGCCATTTCAACAGATTACTCAAATGATATTAATAGTAAATTGGATTCCTTGATATCAATAAATTTAATATTTACAGTACGTTTCACATTTCGATTAGAACATTAGTAATATTAATAGTACATTTCACATTTCAATTAGAACATTAGTAAATTATCACATCAGTACATTGAAAATTAACACTAAATTGGATATTGACAAAATTAACGGACCAATAATACTAGAAAAAACAGATGTGTATAGGTTGAAGAGTACCAACATACACTGACAACATTTGAGTAACAACAAAAATGAAGTGTGTACAGGTTTAAGAGCAACAACAAACACTGACAACCTTCCTTGCGTAATCACCTCCCAATCAAAAAAGCTAGCCAAAAGTGCATCCTCTCGTCCACGTGGTACAATTAGTTTTCACCATGAAGATGCCACATATGTTCTATTAAGTCATTGCGAAGGGCATAATATGCATTCTTATCTTTAATACCTAAATGATGGGACATAAATGATTCAAAGTCATTGTTACTGGTACACGAAACTACTACTAGTGAGTTGGTTGATGATATTTCACAATCGAAATCAAGATGTTCATCTCTCTTATCTTTGACAATCATATTGTGTAATATAATGCAACTCTTCATTATGTTACCAAGTATTTTGGGATCCCAAAAACGTACTGCACCACCTACAATTGCAAATCGGGATTGAAGCACCCCGAATGCTCGCTCTACATCCTTTCTTGCTGACTCTTGCATCATTGCAAAATGTTACTTCTTTGCTCCTTGGGGAGAAGAAATTGTCTAAACCAGTGTTGCCTATTGAGAGTATATACCATTAGCAAGGTAATAACCCATATTATAAGTGTGTCCATTAATAGTGTAATGGACAGGCAGAGCTTTACCATGGGCAAGATAAGAAAATAAGGGCGACCGATCCATGACATTCAAGTCATTGTGTGATCCAAGCATTTAAAAAAATGCATGTCAAATCCACAACTCATAAGAAGCTACTTCTTCAAGAATGATAATTGCCTTTTTCTGATGGTCTACATATTGACCTTGCCATGCCATTAAACAATTTTTCCACTCCTAATGCATGTAATCTAAACATCCCAACATACCTGGAAACTCACGAACCTCCCCAATCGCAAGTAATCTAGCAATATCAGTTGCTGTTGGAGATCTAAGATATTTAGGTCCAAAGATTTCGATTATTGAATTGCAAAAGTGTTAGGTTTTTATTCTTGGCAATCTCGTTTGACAAAACTCCTTTCAATTGTCATTTTATTCAATTTTTTTATTTCAGTGAGGCTATGAGTTTTAGATACGAATCCAACCCAAATTGTACCCTTGCAGAGGAGTTTGTGATGTTAATTCTTTCAGTTGACTATGTTGGGGATCGAGTTGCCCGGTCAATGCATGGGGGTCTAGGAGGCGCCCCTTAGCGGGTCCGGGGCAGTGCCCAGGTGGGGTCGAGGGGCAGCGCCCCCAAAGCAAAAGGCAAAATTGCAGTCGAAGTTATTTTTCTGCTCGAGCGGCCATTCCTGTGCTCGAGCGGAGATCGCGACCTTTCAGAAGTTTCACTCGCCTGCAAAAGCATTGGGAGTTATTTTTTTCCGCTCGAGCAGCCATTCCTGCGCTCAAGCGTAGACCTTGTTTAGTCACACGCGTTTTAGTCTGTCCACTTGAGCTGCCATTCCTGCGCTCGAGTGGAGATCGCGGATTTGTTTGGCATAAAAGCTGCGGTTCAGTAAAGTTTTAGGGTTACGGCATCCAGAACTTCTTCTTGGGTATTACAATTTTTATCTGGAGTTTCTTTGCTTGTTTCCTTTGATATCTGTGATAGATTAATCATAAATTGAGTGGATTATATCAAATGGTTTGTTTAGTTTGTTTTATTCAAAAAATAGAGAGTTGTTCTTCGGTGGATTCCGTGGAATTTGGGCTTGAAGCTTTGGTGAATTCTGGAGTGGCTCATCGTCGTGGATTCGACATCAGCGCTATGGATTTAACGTTAGGCAAGACAATTCTGAGGTGAAGATCGGGCTAGAAGAGGCATATAGAGGTCGGTTTGATTTGGGCATGAATTCGCTAGGTAATTGAGTGTACACTTGTGTAATTATTTTTGTGTCTTTTTAGTGGATTGTTTTATGGCTTTTGCCTGTTGTTTTTTTTATCACAATTGGAGGCGCTCCAATTGTGATTTTTTCACGTAAAATCGTTTTGTCGATTGGTCTTTGATTGTTTGATTGTGATTGCTATTTACTGGTTAAAATTGATACATAATCACAAATCAATATCTAGGGGATTTCTATATTTTTCAAAAAGTGTTTCAAACTTTCAATTGTCATGCTTTCCCCAATTTGCACATAATCATCAACTGCATTTGCTACCACTCTATATGAGAGCATTCTAATTGCTGAAGTCATCTTTTGCAGTGGAGATAATCTGAGGATATGAGCTGCATCATTTTTTTGAACAAAATATGTATCGTGTGCTTCAATGGCATTCAAAATTCGCAGATATAGATGATAACGCATTCTAAAACGTCTTTGAAATGTTGCAGGTGAATAAACTGGATTTGCTGCAAAATAATTCGCAAACAATCGATCATGACCTTTCCTTCTATCGCGGCGTATGTATTTATGTCCTACAAGAGAACCACTTCTTTTCTTTGATTGATCACTTGCTCTCAGAATTTGTATGATACTAGCATTATTTATCTCATAATGATCTAGAAATGCAACAATTTTTTCATCATTAGTTTCATCATCAGAGGATGAGGAAGAAGAAGATGATGAAAAATCAGTGAGCAAATAAGAAGTTAAGCTAGTCATTATTCTCTGTTTTTCAGTTATGGTTGGTTCCAGATACAACCTTGTTTGCTTGGTTTATATAGTATATGGTTTAATTTGTTTATATCTATTTTTTGAGGGAAATAATTAATGGAGGCAAAAAGAAATGGAAAGGTTTAATGGAGGGAAAAAGAAATGACAAAGGAATTGAGGGAAACATAAATGGAGGGGAAAAAAAATTCATTTGCTCTTGCCGATCAACCGGCGGAACGACTGGCCAGTCGTCCCCCTAGACAACCTGTGTTTTGCTAACAGCTACAGTAGTTCACTGTTGGAGTGACTGATATCAAATAGAAGAATTCATTATATTTTTACTCAGATTTGATGAAATATTTGATGAACCGTTGGAGATACCCTAATATCAAATCAAACTTTTTATCAAATTTTTACTCAAATTTGATGAAAATTTTGATGAAGCATTATAGATGCTTAAGGCTACACAAATTGAATAGTTATGCAGAAATTTTATATACAATATAACTGAGATAAGTTTCTCTGTTCAAAAAACAACATTCATCAAAATAATTATAAAGATATATAGTATTATAATTCCAACCCCAAACCTAATTTTTCAATTACTAATTTTTCAATTGGAAAGCCCCAAATCAAAAGTTAAAACACTATTTTTTCAACTTCAAACCAAACATGTTACTCTGTTTTGCTTCTTCAATTGCAACTTCAAACCTTACATCAAAAGCCCCAAATCCAACTCAGCCCAATTGAAATGCCTTAATTTGGAAATTGACAAGTCGCAAATCATAAATCAAAACCCTAAGTTTTGAAAAACGAACCTGAAGTTGGATAGTGGGTAGGATAAGAGCGAGAGCTCCGTCGAGATGGAGAGATACGATAGCTCCAGCTGGTCTTTGATCGATGGTCATCCTCCTTTGTCAGCTTCGTTTTCTCTCTTGTCTAGGACGGTGGTGATGGAGGTTACGGCGGCGGCCGCCGTTGATGTGGCTTGCCTCTTCGTCTACCTGTTGGTCTGCCTAGCCCAGTCCAGTTATTTTTCAGGATTTGATAAGGTTGCCTTAGCTCATATGATAAGATTGGGCTAACATATTTAGCTAGTAATATTAATGGGGTGAGTTTATTTTTTTAATTCAGTCCGTCTGATTTAGCTCACTATTAAATTAATTAATTATAACACATTAATATATATATTTTTTGTTGGGATGTATTTATTAATTTTATTGAAACACATATTTGTGGTAATGTATGATTGAATTTATTTAAGAGATTTTCAATTTATACACAAAATTCTTCAATTTATAATGATATCAATATATTTATTTAAAAAATATAATATATGATTGAATTTGATTATGGAATGTTTTAAAAAAAAAATTAACATATAGTCCGATGGGTAGGTTTGAGATTTATAATTATTTTTTAGGTTGGATTTGGATAGATGTAGAGGCATGATGTTAGCATCGGGCTGGGCTTAGACAAACACAAAATCTTTTATTATGTAGTGTTGATTTGGCTCGGCTCGGCCCAACTCGACGTTTGTCCACCCCTCCATACAACCCCCATAATAGGGGAATAATAAACCACCACTACAAGCCCAAATCTAAATCCAAACCCAACAACTACAACCCCATAATAGAAGTGAAATAAACCACCATTATAAAATGCACCATCCTCCTCTCAAGAGGAGCTGAAGCCGAGTCACTAAACGAAATGCCTCAATTTCTAATTTATTAAATAAACATGTTTTGTAAAACTTTTTTAAATGCATAACCCGTTTTCTCTTTGACTTGCCTGAAGCCAGCCCATTTCTACCTCTAATTTGAATCACGTGCATGCAATTACAGCGGCCCAAGTAACATTGGCTTCTTACCCTCTGGAAACCTCATACAACTTCACTTTTTAATTGTTGAATATTACTACAAAAAAACTAAAATTAAGTCAGTAATCTCATAACTAAATATAAATTAAGGAAATACCCAAAAAATAATGGAATAATGTTACTTTTACATTTTGAACATTTATTCATTAATTTTCTTTAGCCAAATAAATATAACATTCGTACATGTTTTGTTTCATGTTTTTTCTATTTTGCTTTTTAATATTTTAAAAACACAAAGCAAGAACATGTTTGACTTATGTTTTTGTTTTTTTATTTTTTTAAATTTATATGTTTTCAAAGCTAAAAGGGAAACAGAGATATTTTCATTTGTTTTCGATAACAAACAAGAACATAAATCATATAGAATATGTTTTCTATTGTTTTGAACTATGAAGAAAATGAAAAGCATGTTTTCTATATTTGTATAAGAAGCTTTATGTCCCATTCTGAGAAAGACCTTCAAATTTGAATAAAAATAAAATTATATATATTTCAAAGGGTCTTGCTAGTATAAAAAAAATATAAAAATTTAAAGAACACTAGACATTTTTAATTAAATTCAATACACATTTTATTAAAATTAATAATTTTTTAACATTTTCACATATTTTTTTAGTATTTGTCATTTTCAGAAGGTCCATTTTGAAAGAGACCTACACACAAAAAATAAAACAAAAAACATGATAAAAAGAGGAAAAGGCCATACCCGTGAACATGATAATACATGTTCTAAATGTTGGGAAAGGTCTTCACGGGTTTGGAATATATTTGTAGAAGAAACTTTACTTTTTTAAAAGGTCAACAAGGAGAAAAGGCACAATACGTTTTTCACGAAGGCGGTTACTAACACTCCATTAATTATTTTGATTTTTTTTTAAAAAAAATATTTATTATAATAGTAATCTTAAGTGAAATTATTAAAAATAAAATTAATAATTTTAAAACATCTCATCTCATAATTAAACTTACATACTCACTATATCGTGAGTTAAGATTTATGAGAGCACCATTCTCTATCACCACCCATCCATCTTTCCTAAATCACATCTTCAAAACCTACCTACCCTTAAAATCTTGAAAACCCTTTGGCGGCAATATTTCGGCAGCAATTATGACAACCATTTGATTACATACACTTCTTCGGTAATGACAATGAGTGAAAGTTTTTCCGACAATCACAACTCCATGAAACGAGAGTAGTACAATAATAAAAGTTTAAAAGAGGTTCATAGTTTTGATGATGTTCTTAGCGCAGAGGAGATTGGCCTTGTAGGTAAGTTTCTTGAAAAAAAATAATAAAATAATAAAAATTGTTCGTCATTTTTTCGGAACTAAACTCTTGAACATATGATCGAAATTCGGGAACA